CAATTACTAGCTTAGTTTTGACATTGGCTGAGGAATAGGATGAGAAATAGTTTTCACAAGATCAGTATTTAAATCAAATGATTTATTCTGGTTATTTTATTATGGAACTGTTTTGATATTTATAACATGCCCGTAAGAGTTGATAATGTAATAGTGTATTTTTTTCTTGCTGTTCATAACTTGAACACATTTGCACCAGGTCTTTCAAATATTGAATAGAAATAAATTGAAAAAAAAAACTTCCTTAAACAATCTTTATTTCCTTCAGTGAAGATTCTATTCATATCATGAAAGCTGTTCTACAACCCTGCTGAAAGTAAAACAGTTATTTTATTTTGGGTTGTTTAAAAGTACTGTGAAATTCAGGCATACAATAGACATGCTTCACAATTAAGGGCTTTAGAATATGCTAATTATTATATCAGCCAGCAAACAGTTTTTAATAATATATGAGGCTTTGCCTTACAAACATACAAAACAGGAACAAAAGTAGATCATTCAACCCATCAAGCCTGCTATGCCAATCAGTAAGATCCTGGTTGAATTGCTTGTATTCCAAATTCCACAGTTCTATTATCCCCAATAGCCTTTGACTTCCTTGCCCAACAAGAATCTGTTTACTTCTTTCTTAAAAATATTTGATGACCCGAACTCAACTGATTTCTGAGGTACAGAGTTTCACATTCACACAATCCTCTGAGAAAGAAAAAAAATCTCATGTGTCTTCAAAGGGAAGCTCCTGATTTTAAAACAGTAATTTTAAAACATTGGGTCTTGGAATAGAATTTGAAACCAAAGCTTCTGGCTCAAAGACATGGTCTTTACATATTGCTTCATGAGACTGTATGATTGATAAATTACAAGAATCCAAAGAGCTTTCTTGTGTATGTATCAAGTAACAACTTTATTTCTGTGACACTAGGTATCAAGATCTCACACCTAGTACACAAATTTATTCAGTGAACCTATTTTTAAATTATATTTTCCAAATACCAAAAATCTTAAAACAAAGTAAATGCCATTTTTCTTACAGATGAATATGAAGAGGATTGCATATTATGGTTTGTAATAACTGTTTTAATTGTCAATGAGGATTTGATTTCAGAAACACTACAGTTGATGGCGCTATTGACAGTTTTTCTCACCGCACTTGAAAAGCCAAACACTGGGGCATTGCTGAATCATTTTCAAAGTCAAACAAATCACAGGATTTAGAATCATATCTTAAAACCTGCAAGACTGTCAGTGGTATTACGAATGGTAGGTTAGAAATTGCAAGAGCCTGCGGGAGAGGGCAAGATTAGGCACATATTTCCACCGAAGAAATTTGGAAAGTTTTGAGATTGTCTACAGTGCTGTAGAACATAGAACATAGAACATTACAGCGCAGTACAGGCCCTTCGGCCCTCGATGTTGCGCCGACCTGTGAAACCAATCTGAAGCCCATCTAAACTAAACTATTCCATTATCATCCATATGTTTATCCAATGACCATTTAAATGCCCTTAAAGTGGGCGAGTCTACTATTTTTGCAGGCAGGGCATTCCACGCCCTTACTACTCTCTGAGTAAAGAACCTACCTCTGACATCTGTCCTATATCTATCACCCCTCAATTTAAAGCTATGTCCCCTCGTGCTAGCCATCACCATCCGAGGAAAAAGGCTCCCACTGTCCACCCTATCTAATCCTCTGATCATCTTGTATGTCTCTATCAAGTCACCTCTTAACCTTCTTCTCTCTAACGAAAACAGCCTCAAGACCCTCAGCCTTTCCTCATAAGACCTTCCCTCCATACCAGGCAACATCCTGGTAAATCTCCTCTGCACCCTTTCCAATGTTTCCACATCCTTCCTATAATGCGGTGACCAGAACTGTATGCAATACTCCAAGTACGGCCGCACCAGAGTTTTGTACAGCTGCAACATGACCTCATGGCTCCGAAACTCAATCCCTCTACCAATAAAACCTAACACACTGTACGCCTTCTTAACAACGCTATCAACCTGGGTGGCAACTTTCAGTGATCTATGTACATGGACACCGAGATCTTTCTGCTCATCCACACTACCAAGAATCTTACCATTAGCCCAGTACTCTGTATTCCTGTTATTCCGTCCAAAGTGAATCACCTCACACTTTTCCTCATTAAACTCCATTTGCCACCTCTCAGCCCAGCTCTGCAGCTTATCTATGTCCCTCTGTAACCTGCAACATCCTTCCGCACTATCCACAACTCCACCAACTTTGGTGTCATCCGCAAATTTACTAACCCATCCTTCTACGCCCTCATCCAGGTCATTTATAAAAATGACAAACAGCAGTGGCCCCAAAACAGATCCTTGAGGTACACCACTAGTAACTGAACTCCAGGATGAACATTTCCCATCAACCACCACCCTCTGTCTTCTTACAGCTAGCCAATTTCTGATCCAAACCGCTAAATCACCCTCAATCCCATGCCTCCGTATTTTCTGCAATAGCCTACCATGGGGAACCTTATCAAACGCTTTACTGAAATCCAAATACACCACATCAACCGCTTTACCCTCATCCACCTGTTTGGTCACCTTCTCGAAGAACTCAATAAGGTTTGTGAGGCACGACCTACCCTTCACAAAACCGTGTTGACTATCCCTAATCAAATTATTCCTTTCTAGATGATTATAAATCCTATCTCTTATAATCCTTTCCAACACTTTACCTACAACCGAAGTAAGGCTCACTGGTCTATAACTACCAGGGTTGTCTCTACTCCCCTTCTTGAACAAGGGGACAACATTTGCTAGTCTCCAGTCTTCTGGCACTATTCCTGAAGACAATGACGACATAGGCACTATTCCTGAAGACAATGACGACATAATACTTCATAGTACTTCATAGACATGTTTTTGTTTTGCGTCTTAGTTGCCCTTCTTCAGTGATTGCATGTGAATACATTTAAAAAATACAAACACTGCATTTTAACTGCATTTTATTATTGATCTTAATTCTGATAGTATAATGAGACAGGTCAGATTCCAGATTGAAACCTGGGTTGATAGGTTATTTCCTTCTGTGTGTTTAGTTAGTTAGTTAGTATGAAAATTTTCATATGAGGATACAGAAGTTCTTTCTCAACATGAATTTATTACACAAAATAAGGGAAACAAATAAATCAAGCTAGTTAGAAGTTTCTTAACAGAAATATTAAAACAACAGTTTCAAATTGTTCCTCAACATTATTCATTATAAAGAATCAAGTACAGAGAAATAATCTTCCTGTCTCAACTCTTCAAATTTCCACTTGACCAATTCCTTCCATATTCTCTTTTTTGAACTGTTCAAGCAATTTTATGATTCCTCACCAAGCATTAACCTTTCACAAGTCTCATGTTTAAACTTTTCAATTCTAACAACCTGAAGATTTCTGTCCCAAGTACTCCTGGCTTAAAAAACTTCACAAACTAGAAAAAAGACTGCTGGCACAGTGACCAATTTCCTCAGAACAGAAATAAAAACCTGCTAGGAGAGAAACTAAGACTTGCTTCTGAACTCAATACAATTCTTCTCAACTGAAATTTTGAATTCTCTGCTCTAAAGCCAAATTAAAGCTAATGACTGAAAGTGTTACACGACCTGTCATAAACCCACATATTTAAAAATCTTATATCTTATCCCATTACCACTCCAGTATATCTCCCAATCCCTGACTGCAGTAATATATCTCCTTGCAACTGGTACATTTAAGTCACTCTTCCAAAAAATCATATACCTCTCCTTTTAAACAATCAAAATTCAAAAAGCTGTTAGTATATTTTGTACATTTTCCATCACACAGCAGCAAAGCTGCTTTCATCTTTTAATTGTTGTCTATGTTTATACAACACTTTGAGAACTGACTTTCATAGATGGTAGAATTTTCTAGGTGAAGTCTATTCCAAAAAGTTTTAAAACTTTTAAAACTGTGTTTTGCATTTCAATTATGTGGGTAATACCAATTCATTTGCTGCCACAGCCTCTAGTTTAGAGTTGTAGACGTGTACAGCATAGAAACAGACTCTTTGGTCCAACTCATCCATGCTAACCAGATATCCTAAATTAATCTAGTCCCATTTGCCAGCATTTGGCTGTTATCCCTCTAAACCCTTCCTATTCATATTCCCATCCAGATGCATTTTAAATGTTGTAATTGTATCAGCCTCCACCACTTCCTCTGGCAGCTCATTCCATACATGCACCACCCACTTTGTGAAAAGGTTGCCCCTTAAGTCCCTTTTAAATCTTTCCCCTCTCACCTTAAACCTATGCCCTCTAGTTTTGGACCCCACTACCCTGGGGAAACAACCTTGGCCATTCACGCTGTCAATGCCCTTCATGATTTTATAAACTTCTACAAGGTCACCCCTTAGTCTCTGACGCTCCAGAGAAAATAGCCCCAGCCTATTCAGCCTCTCCCTATAGCTCAAACCCTCCAACCTTGGCAACATCCTTTTAAATCTTTCCTGAACCCTTTCAAGCTTCAAAACATCCTTCCTATAGCAGGGAGACCAGAATTGAATGCATTATTCCTGAAGTGGCCTAACCAATGTCCTGCATAGCTGCAACATGACCTCCCAACTCCTACACTCAATGCACTGACCAGTAAAGGCAAGCATACCAAATGCCTTCTTCACTATCCAAACTACCTGCAACTCCACTTCCAAGAACTTGTGAACCTGCTTGTGGCTTTGTATTTTGCTGAAGTTATCTGCGAAGAATAAATAAGACATTCTGAAGTTTTTTTTTAAATCACAGTGGACAGTTGGATTGCAGCATGTTAACAATTGTAGGGACAAAACATGTGGGGAGCTATGATTTTGTTTTCAGCTGCCAGTTACGATTGAAGCTTTAGATTTCTCAGAGACACAGAATTTGATAGAAAAAATAATGAATAGGCATTCGCAAAGAAGTGTATTTAAAAGTTTAATGACATATGAATTTTAAAATTTTATGTAAATACAAAGTTTGAGTTAATTGCCTTGTCTGAATTAACACTGAAAATATGTTAACTATGTGCAAAGAAGATCATACAAAAAATACAAAGAGATTGCATTTAAGATATAATATTGAATTAGTACAGCCTAATAACATTTTGTATTTATTCTCCACACGGGCAGTAATCTCAGTATCAAGAGCCAGTTTTTTTTAATTCAACAATGGTAACAGTTGGATTCAGTAAGGAGTAAGATAAAAATGCAAAAAATTTCAAATCCAAACCATATCTGTTCACTTCCACTTCCAGTAAAGACATTAACAGGAGATAAACCCATTTCTAGAATGTAACTAGTTTAATAAATCCATGTGGCTCAGCTCTTTTCATAGAATCCCTAGAGTTCAGAAAGAAGCCATTCAGTCTATCAAGTCTGCACCAACCCAGGAACATCCCACCCAGACAATCCCCCACCCTACTGCCATAACCCTACGTTTGCCATGGCTCACCCATCTAGCCTACACAACCCTGTACAAAGTAACATGGCAAATCCACTTAATCTGTACATCTTTGGACTGTGGGAGGAAAGTGAAGCACCGAGCAGAAACCCATGCAGACACAGGGAGAACATGCAAACTCCACACAGACAGTCTTCCAAGGATGGAATTGAACCCAGGTCGCTGGTGCTATCTTTTTCTTCAAACTTGAAATGTTGGCCAAGTATATTTCCTGGAAAATCCACAGGGAAGTGAACAATACCATTCATTGGCACCACTCCATTTTGCCCTAAATTAAGTTGTTGATATACTCAGCAAGCAGAAGTGGTCCTAGAATAGAGCTTAGCGAAGCACTGTTTCCCACTTACAACCTGAGAAAATTACATCAATTCCCAATTTATATTTTGACACTGGGGCAGTGATTTGACCAGGGGCTGCTGAAAGTTTAGCATTTAATTAAGATTTATTCAGTGCACATAAAATACACCATATAGTTTATTTTGTTTCCAAATCCAATCAATTAAAAATTAGTCAAATACCGTCTATTTACAAGTTTTTGAAGCGCACTATAATTCTAAAATATAGATGAAATATTGAAGAACATTTTTATATTTCCTATAATAGTATAACAGTTGCTGAATATATTCTTTATTAAATTGTGCTAATAAAACATTACCAAACTTGATCAGAATCCCAGGTTTATCTGCATTAAATGGACAACACACAATGCCAATGTTCAAAGTTGATGCTACTCTATACTGATAAATTATTACTTGCACATTTTTCATTTCTTCTTGTAACCATGTGAATGTTAATTACAAGTTATTAAAAATATTCATAGTTTCTCAATTTTGTATATGAACTGAACAGAATATTTATTTGTTCTTGTGTAGCTATATCTTCTCTATAATGTTACATATTGCCTGGAATATTGTGCTGTCAATTGATAATTGACTAGTGAAAAGTAAGACAGCACAACTAGTATAGCTGGGTTTTAGAATATAAAGGTAGAGTTGCCTTGGTCCTCCTGGACCATAGGTTGTTGTCTCATTAGAGAGAGAGAGACAATGATTTAACCTGAAGGTAAAAAGACCTCAGGCAACAGGCTGGTTTGAGAATGAAAAATCTTTCATAGCAACTTCAGATGGTACAGGAATTGAACACATGCTGTTGGTATCACTCTGTTTGATTGCAAACCACCTGCCCAGCCAACTGACCCAAAGTTTTAGTATACAACTGATGAATAGCGTGCATATTGTATTTAATTTTGAGCTTAAACAGGTTGTTTCTCCAAATGATTATTCATGATGAGATATCTTCATGTCACTTCAATAAATTCCTAATTTAACTTCTCAAAAATGTAAAATGAAATAAAATTATACTTCCTCTAATGTTCCAGCGGATGCTTGCACTGTAAAGGATGCAACAGCAATCTGCTCCTTCACTTCTTGCCAGGCTTTGTGTTCATCTGCAGCATTTGCTATGTCAAATAATGCATCATAGATTCCTGGAAAAGATTCTCCTGCATACTTATTGTGAGTGCTGGGAGCATAAATGATGTGCCTGTGGGAGGAAAAGTTAATTAAAAATGTCAAATGCCACATTTATCAATTATATTAAATGCAAGCATTCAGCTTGCATTAGTGATGCATGGTTATAATGTGATGTGCTTACTGAAATTAATCTGTCAAAATAGACATTGATCAGCTATGAAGGCTTAATAAATTATATTTTCTTAAAATAATTGCTGTAACATCTATTGCTAGTGTGGAAAGTTTCGAGATTTACTTTTGCATAAGGCAAGAAACCAGGTTGAAATGTTTAGATTTTCTAAAGTATTTTGAAGTTATGAAATGGAATTGGGCAAGTTCACTCAAAAACATGTTATCTCAAGTTCTAAATTTTAGGTGGGATGATCCACCCACCCATTGCTTGTTCTCAATAGATTCTCAAAAGAGTTCAATCACAATACTTTTCTTTTAAACGAAGGTGTTTGTTATTTAGGAATATGTTGTTATAATTTGGGATCTTTGGTTAGAAATTGGCAGTAAATGGATTTTTGGTTTACAGTTCTGTGGAAGTGATAAAAGTCAATGAGTTAGATAGTGTTTGTTTGTCTTGGGGAGAGAATGTACAGAAATTAACCACAACGTAGTCAATTTGGTAAGAAATTTAAGTGTGAAGATAGGTTTGATACTTCAATGGGCTGGAGTGTCTATAAAAGGATATTGCTGATAAACATTTGAATCTTTGTTTTTGCTGATGTAAACTGTCACTAATAATTGTCAGGTTGGCACAGTGGTTAGTACTGCTGCCTCACATCACCAGGGACCCAGGATCAGTTCTAGCCTTGGGTGACTGTGTGAATTTTGCACATTCTTCCCCTGTCCATGTGGGTTTCCACCAGGTGCTCTGGTTTCTTCCCACAGTCTAAAAATGTGCAGGTTGGGTGATTGGCCATGCTAAATTGTCTATAGTGTCCAGGGATGTGCAGATTAGATGGATTAGCCACAGTAAATGTTGGGTAGCTGGAATAGGGTAGAAGCCTGACTCTGGGTGGGATTCTCTCTGGAGTGTCGGTCCAGACTTGATGGGCCGAATCTTCTCTTTCCATACTGTAAGGATTCTACAATCGTGTACATCTTTTATGAAACAAGCTTGTGTTCTTTTGTTAAATGTACACTGACAGCCTATTGTGAATTTGCTCAGTAACTGATTATTATGGTAACCAAATTGCAAAAATAAAACTTGTGATTTATCAAGCCAGGTTTCACATTACTCTAAATTCAAAATGCATAATTTTTAATAAAAAAACAAATAAAAATAATTACTCTTTCAATTAACTTGCTTAATTCACCTTTCTGATATTTGATATTTTTATGAACAAGTAAATAAGATCACAAAGAATAATCTAAACAAGTTAAAGGCAATAATACCGAAGAATCGTGCTTCAGAACTTGCTGCACCCCAAGCCAAATTGTATCAGTACAGCTATCACACTAGCATCTACCTGACAGCCTGGAAAATGTCAAACTATGTCCTTTACACAACAAACAGGACAAATCCAAACCAGCCAATTCCTGCCCCTCAGTCTACTGTTGATCATCAGTAAAGAAAGGTGTCACCAACTGTGCTATTAAGCAGCACCTGCAGTACAAGAAACTGCTCACTGACGCCCAGCTTGGGATCCTCCATGGAGCACTCGGTCCCCAACCTCATGATGGCCTTGGTTCAAACATGGACAAAAGAGTTGAATTCCAGAGATGAACTGAGAGTGTCTGTCCTTGAGAGCAAGGGTGCATCTGACCAAGTATGGCATCAAGGAAACCCAGCAAAACTAGAATCAATGGGTATTAGGGGGCAAACTCTCCACTGGATTGATGCCTGGCAAATAGGAAGATAGCTACAGTTGCTGGAAATCAGTCATCCGAGCTCCAAGACATCTCCACAGGAGTTTCTCAGGGTAGTGTCCTTGGTCAAACTCCTTCAGCTGCTTCATCAATGACCTTCCATCCATCATAAGGACAAAAGTAGGGGTGTTCACTATTGAATCTGCAATGTCCAGCACCATTTGCAATCCTCAGATGCTGAAGAAGTCTGCATTCAGATACAATATCCAGGCTTGGGCTGAAAAGTGGCAAGTAATATTTGTGCCACACAAATGCCAGACAATGACCATCTCCAATAACAGACAATCTAACCACTGCTCCTTGACATTAATGGTGTAGCCATCACTGAATCCCTCACTATCAAAATCCTTGGGGTACCATTGAGCAGAAACTCAACTGGATTTGCCATATAAATACAGTTCCTGTAAGAGCAGGTGAGGCTATGAATACTGCAGCAAGTAATGCACCCCCTGTCTCTCCAAAGCCTGTCCACAATCTAAAAGACTAAAGTGAGGAGTGTGATGGGATACTCCCCACTTGCCTGAATGTGTACACTTCTAACAACACTCAAGGAAATTGACATCATACAGAACAAAGAAGACCATTTCATTGGTGCCACATCCATAAACATTCAGCCCCTCTACCACTGATGCTCAGTTGTGGCATTGTGTATTATCTGCAAGATACATCATCAAGATCCTTAGACATCATCTTCCAAACCAATGAACATGACCATTTAGAAGGACAAGGGCAACAGATACATGGGAACACCACCATCTTCAATTTACCTTCTAAGCCATTCACCACCTTGACTTGGAAATATAGTGCTGTTCCTCCAATGTCATTGGGTCAAAATCCTGATATTTTCCTCCCTAATGGCATTGTGAGTTTTCCAACAGCACAAGGACTGCAGTGGTTCAAGAAGGTAGGTCACCACCATCTCCTCACGTCAATGAGGAGCAGGCGATACATGCTGGCCCAGCCAGTGACACCCACATCACACAAATAAATGAAAAAAAATTAGTTTGTCTTCTGAAACTGTATTATGAAACCTCAGTGTAACTTCTTCACAGCACTACTTGCATCTTATTTTTCACGTGGCTAGGAAATGAAGATGTACTGGGGAGTGGGGGAATGTAAAGACAATTTGCAGATCTTGTTCTGTGTATTGACCTGGGAAGCAGGATGAGTTAAGGAATTTTTCCATAGGAGTGATCACTGTTGTTCTGGGCCTGAGCGAACTGTTTCTATTGAATGTGTCTCCAAAAGAATTGGATCCTACTAACTATTTCCCCAGCTGCAGTAACAGGTGGAACAGCACTCGTTCTGAATTGCTATATATCACAGCCATGATTTTGTGGAGAAAATTAGATTTCATGGTGTTCTCTTACAGAACCCATTGGGAGATTCAAAATTTGAGGTCAACCATTTTAGCAAGCTTATTGATCACTGCAGAATAAGCTTGAGCAGTGCCATCAGTTGACTGTAACAACTCCAATGGTATTCATGCTACTAGTTGCCATAATTCCAAGCTTGGTAATTTTCTCCTTAAGCCTCTTCAACTCTCTCATCTACTTTGGAATGGTCATTTAAAACTAAAACTTTTACAATTTTTTGGTCACCTGTCCTAATACTTCCCCATGTTGTTTGATTTCAATTGTGTTTGATAGGTCTTCTGTGAACTGCCTTGAGCTATTTTAAGATAATTTAAAGTGTTTTACTAATACAAGTTGGGCAGATTTCATGATTGTCAGTCAAGTTTGTGGACACAATACTGTACTGTACACATTGCAGACAATGTCACAAATGCAGCAATTGCCGGTACTGTATACGGCAAACACACTACATGTACTTCAACCAACTGACCATATCTCAAGGTCCAAGGGCTATAATCCTCAGTCAAATCAATGGAGAAAGCTTTTAGTCACGTGGTCCAATACAGTAATTCAGGGACACTGTCTAATGTTAGTCCAAAGGCTAGAAAATGGTCAGTCAGCAGTTTGGGGTTCTGTCTCATTACAGTACAGATAGGGGGCCCCAGTTGGTTCTGCAGGTTTAGTGCAATTAGTCAGGGAATCGTAGTAAGTCAGTCAGGGAGCTGCAGAGACATTAGTCATGGGCCCAGTCACCCATCAAATGGAACTGTCTGTCCAAGTCAGTCCTGGGGATCAGCTCAATAAAAGGGTAGCAGGGTGTTATCGGAGGCCAGTACTGTAGTAGGGAATTTAAGAAAATCAATTCTGGGGATTGGAGGTAGCATACTGGGATGCAGAGACGTCAGTAATTGTAAAGCAGGGAAACTCAATATATAATGTGGAAGAATCTCATACATTGGAGGACATTCATTACTGCAGGAGTGAGGGTAGTCCAGCATAGCCACAAACAAAAACAGAAATTCCTGGAAAAACTCAGTAGGTCTGGCAGCATCTGTAGAGAGGAAATCACAGTTTACATCATTACATCACTGGATCTGAAAAGTTAATTGTGATTTCTCTCCACAGATGCTACCAGGCCTGCTGAGTTGTTCCAGCAATTTCTGTTTTTGTTTCTGATTTCCAGTATCCGCAGTTTCTTTGTTTTTTTATTTAGTCCAGCATGGTTGTTGACATGGCTAATCAGTAGAATCAATTATAGAATCATAGAATCTATACAGTGTGGGAACAGGACATTTGGCCCAACAAATCCACACTGACTCAAACCCCTCAAACCCCCCCATACCTTGTAAACCTACATTTTCCATGGCTAAAGCACCTAACCTACACAGACCGTGGCTAATCCACCCAAACTACACATCTTTGGACTGTGGGAGAGAACCGGAGCACCCAGCAGAAACCCATGCAGACACAGGGAGAACGTCCACAACTCCACACAGACAGTTGCCCGAGGCTGGAACTGAATGCCGAACCCAGACCTTCCCTTCTGTCTTTTGAAGTGCTGAAATGTTGACTGTTTCTCTTCAAATATATTGCTAAATCCTGAGTATTTTCAGCATTTTCTGTTTTATTTGCAAATATTTGGTTAAAATCAACTTTGAAACATCACAACAACTGTGTTACAAAGAATGTTACTTTAAAAACATAAATCTCAAAAGACAGAGGACCGTTTACATAATGTTTTGCATATTGGTGTAAAAGGACGATTCCTGTTTTACAGCAGAAGTTGCGTGGAGAGGGGGTAGTGTGCTGGTGAAAGTTTAGGAATGGGCCTGGGGAGAATAATGTTGGGAGATTAAGTCACATTTCAACGAGTGGGAATGTGTGGAAGTTCACCGTTGATGGGCTCGACAAGGATTGCAAGGAAGAAAGCGACATGGAAGTTCGAATGTGGGTTTGGTGGGCCTTTATTATCAGACTGAGCTTGAGGCTTGCTGTGTCAAGTATAACCTCCACTGCATTCCATATTCATAAGATTCATAAGTGCACTATGGAAATAGAAAATAGCTACAACCATACCTGGAGTCAGCAGACTAATTTTTGTTCTGACTGAGCATGTGGGTTCTACTTTTTAGTTATGTAAGACTCTTCAAGGGGCAACTGCATTGATCAGACACTTTCACAGTATAGGTTGAACTCATCTGTAATCATAATACCCTTCACATGGAATGCGTGCAGCATCTATGTGGGAGATAAATCCCATTCACAAGCAATTTTGACGATGTCATTGGTTATTACCGATTGATCATAATCACCTCAGAGAAGCAGAAATATTCGAAGGTGACCTTGAAAATGGTGCCTGCAGGACCACTATACACAAAGACAATCCAAGGTCTCATAGTTTGCACAAGCGCATAGAGCTGATTTCCTCTCACCCTGAAGTGTAAGATATTCACCAACATGCAATGGTACATTTCTTTGTTAATATGCGGGGCAGGACAAAGTATCAGAAAACGTACATTACTTATAATCTTCCACTATATTTGGCTTGTGTTGCATTCATTGGAATAAGGTATCCTCTGTCAAAGATCCATGTACAGGGATTCCATGGCCCTCCTTGTCGGATGTCCCATGTTCCAATGTATAAAAGTGTATGTTAAAACTGTAATTTCTGTGAGATGCAAATGAGACTGCTAGCCTTACCAAGGATGGCGGTGGCAGTGAGGGAATAAATGAGCGAGAGAATGGGTGGAGACAGAGCCCAGAGGAGAAGAAAGACAGTTAGGCCATCAAAGGGATGGATAATGGTATGCAAGTCAAGGAAAAGAGCTGATCATGAGGATTCTGGGTAGGTGGAAATGGGTTGGCTCTGCTTAAAGGAGCCCATGTGATGAAAAGACCTGGGGTGTGGTGGTGGGGAAAGCATATGTATGAAGGTGCTCTGGTTCTAAAATTATTGAAGACAATGTTGAGTCCTGAAGGCTGCCGGGTTCCCAAGCGGAAATCGAAATGCGGTTGCTCCAGCTTGCATTGAGCCTTGTTATTACTAAGGACCTGATCTGTTTGATATTCACTACACAGGTCTATTGGAATCATGACCAATAGATGCAACCACAGCAGGCGTTATTTTCACTGATGCTGAGGTGTAATGAAGGTGCAGAAAAATTCAGGAGGAATAGATGCACCAGCAAACCTAGGACCAGCAGCAACATCCAGTACTGCTAAACAACTCCTACCTCACAGCTAACGATCCCTTCAAGATGCACGGGAGGTACAGGAGGGCCAGTGTCTATTGTCCTTGATGCCATTTCCTTGAGAAGAGCACAGTGTCAACAAACTCTGAGATTGGCTGAGGACACTATCACAGAAATATGCCAACTGCTGGAATGAGACCTCTGAACTGAAGGGGGTGGGTCACCTACTCAGTTATCATCACGGGGACATCTGCATTAAACTTTTAAACAACTGGCTGTTTCACTGGGATCCTGCATGTGATCTCTCAACCTTGACCCACAAATTCTTTAAAGCTGTAACTGATGTAATTCATATCAAATCACACTACTGTATCTCATTTCCCCTTGACTAATGAAGGTGCTATATTGTGGACAGTAGGCTTTGCCAACATAACTGGCTTCCTGCTAGTGCAGGGTGTTATAGACTATACGTATATCACATTGAGAATGTCATACCATAACACACTTGAAATAGCAGTATATTTACAAATGTGCATTTATAGTTTCAATGAAGTATCAGCGTGCCACACATCTGCCCTCAGAAGCATTTATCTTTCACTTTCCTCCCACTCCATATATGGGGGAAGGCAAATCCAGTTGTGACAAGGACACAAGAAATCTGCAAAGAGATATTGGTAGGTTGAGTGAGTGGACAAAAACCTGCCAGATAGAGGTTGTAGGAAAATATGTGGTTATGTACTTTGGCAGGAAGAATCAAAAGGCAGATATTTAAATGTAGAGGCACACTCCAAAAAGTGCAGCACAGAAGAATCCGAGTGTTCTTGTAGATGAAACACAAAGTTAGCATACTTGTGCAGGAAGTAATTGAGAAGGCAAATGGAACTTTGGCCTTTATTGTGAGGAGTTGGAGTTAGAAAATAGGGAAGTCTTGTTACAACTGTATAGAGTGTCAGTGAGGCCACAGCTGATTATTTAAGAAAGGATGTACTGGCACGGGAGATGTTTCAAAAGAGATTAACTGGACTAATTCCTGGGATGAGGGAGTTGGCTCATCAAGAATGACTAAGAAAGTTGGCCTTTATTCATTAGGAGTATAGAAGAATAAGAAGTGGTGTTATTGAAATGTGTAAGATTCTGTGAGGGCTTGACAGGGTAAATGTGGAGAATATGTTTCCATTAACGGAAGAATCTTGAACTATGGGACACAGTTACAGAATAAGGGGACACTCATTTGAAACTGAGACCCTCCAGGAGGGTAGTGAATGCCTAGAATTATCTATCCCAGAGAATTGTGGAGGATAGATCATTTAAAGTATTGAAGTAGAAGATAGATTTTCGAAATATCACAGTGAGGGCAGTGATGAACCGGCAAGAAAGAGGGCTAAGGCCTGGGGCAGATCAGCTATGATCTTTTTGAATTGTGGGGCAGGATTGAGGGGCCAAATGGCTTACTCCTGCTCCTATTTTCTACGTAATCTCCACAGAAGACTTGAGAGGGAGAATGCAACGGCTTACACTTCAAAGAAAAGTATTTGTCCTAAATTTGCTAAGCATATATTTTCTTCAATCAGCTTTCTAAAATTCAATATTCAAAAAGTCCTGTTTTGCTCTAATTGGTTCAGTCCTGTCTGAACAAAAGGCATTTTTTATAAAGTCACTACAATTGCTGGAAATTGGAATTACTGAAATCAAAGTAATAACAATCACAGTAACTGAGTTATATTTGTCAACTATGGTAAGCAGATTGCCAAAGACGAGGCACCTGCACAGCCCCAGAAGACACCTTCTGTTCTCAGCCATAAATGACATGCTCAGCCTACAGAGACAGACACAGGACTATCAAGTAGGTGTGCTAGAGAGGCTCAGTAGGCTGGAATGAAAGATGGAGTAATCATTCAACATTTTCACTACTGTGGTGGCTCCAGTGTGTGAGATCTGGCTGTCTTCAAGAAAAAGCTGCAGCCACCTTGGAGACACAGGTCCAGTAGTGGAGATGGTGACATTGTGGTAATGTCACTGCACTAGTTTTCCTGGGTCTTTGGATTACATGGTTCAAGCCCTGAAGTGGTGCCTGAGTTAGAGCAAGAGCAGCCATGATGATGTTGAGACTGGTGTTGTGTCAATGCAGAATTGACTTAATGTAGGATGCAGTAAGAGCATTTTCATTGACCATGGAGACCTGTGCAGAACAAATGGGTCCATGTAAAGAGAAGCTTGTTGTTCAGAATAGCCATTCTATAAATTGCAATGGCCATTGAAGAAACAAGTCACCAGGTAACTATTCAGCTTCAAGAACAGATATTGCTGGAAAGACTCAGCAGGTCTGGCAGCATTTGTGAAGAGAAGTCAGAGTTAACGTTTTGGGTCCGGTGACCCTTCCTCAGCAGTGTTCAGCTTCGCTGATCGATTTGTTTGTGGTATTGTCAAATTTCTTGGAGACTGGAAGTACAATGTCAATAATGGCAGGTCAGGCTAATAATGGGACGAAAATGCATGGAAATAAGCTAGTCACTACTTAATGGTGAGATTCTGACCTTGCCATCTAAATCATGAGAACTAAATCAAGAGATGTTTTCTCGATGTCAGGTCTGACCTTTGGACTCTCACCTAAGTCATCTTGCCCACTTTACTTGCACCTCAGGGCAGGGAAAATTCCACCTATGACTGCAAATCTCTCTAGACTAGATGGTTATTGCACATCCCCATGTCCTCATCTCTCACATTTCAGTAATTTGCTTACTGTCACTATAAAACTAATTATGGAAGAAATTTCCACTCTTTGTGATTCAAATAACCCTTCTACGATAGTCCATAATTTTATTTTAAAGATGCCTGAGATCAACCAATAATGGATAAAACAACATGACTAATACAGTTTTGTTAACAAGTTAGAAAGAAAGTAGGGAATATAATGGACTAACTAAGTTAATTGCAGCTCACCAAGTCAATGAAACAGAACTGAAACCTAGGCAATGTTGGATATTATTACTGGATTCCGATCATACTAAGTCTTACCTGTAGAAGGGTCTCCCAGGTAATCCTGTAGGGTGGATAAAGGATCTTTCCAGCAGCATCAACTGGTCATTTATTATGCGTACAGCGAGTGGACTATAAAATAAATTGAACAAGTGAATGCAATTATAGATGTAGACATACATAATATTATCATATTTGCTTCAATAGCAAAGTTCCATTTGGAGATTCTGTTTTCTAACAAACAGTAAGTGTTTGATCAAACCAATTAGAATTCTACTGGATTTTTGTAAGGGAGAACTTGAAACCCAGGTATTACTGTTAATGACCATGACTGTGTGATTGAAAATGTTTGGATACACATAAAAGGAGGCTCGTGCTGAAAAATGACTTAAAGGCAAAAATACATCTTGGATTTTCTAGATGCAGAGGTTACTTAATACGTGTTGCATTATCTTTCCTTATAAGCAAACGAGCAGCATTGCTAGAGATTAGGTGCCCAATTCATGTGTGCGTAGGAGAACTAATGCTAGGTAGGCTGAGCCTGTAGGTAAATGTTCTAAAGAGACAAAATTGCATGAAATAGACAATGTTCCCAATACGAGACAAATGTTTATCAACAAAGAAGTTGCTACTGTCATTAAAAAGCAGTAGCATAATATTTTCAATAATGAACTGTAGAATTAATTTTTAATATTGATGCTGCTAGTCCACTAAAATGTATCAGCACTGCCAGACATTATTTATATGAAACACGCCCAAAACACAAAATAATTTTTATGCTGGAGACACAGGTGAAGTGGTGGCTGGGGGTGCAAGTACTTTACACAATCCAAAAGAAACATCAGCTGTCTTTTCGTCCTTCTATTAATGATGGGATGAGATAATTCCTGCCAATGGCTAAGTAATATGGATGATGCTCAGTCACACTACATTAATAATATGAGGCAAACATTCTGGCAGCATTAACATATTTTCCAAACAAGGACTATGGTGGGGGTGTGAGGCACTTACATTTCTCACTTAAAAATCTGGACCTGGAAAATATTTGAAAAAAATCTATCATAAATGTTAAGGGCGTTTTCATTATTTTTCAAATCAAACATCACAGTGCCTGACTAGATACATAAGCTCAGATTTATTTTATTCCCTTTTCATAATTTTTTAAATTCATTTGTGGGATGTGGGCGTGCTGGCTGGCCAGCATTTATTAGCCGTCCCTAGTTTCCCTTGAGATGGTGGTGGTGAGCTGCCTGCTTGAACTGCTGCAGTCCACCTGCTGTGGGTTGACCCACAATGCCATTAGGGAGGTTCCTTCGTCACTGCTAGACCCAATCTAGCAGCTTTATCCTTTAGGACCCAAACAGCTCGATCTGTAGTACTGCTGCCGAGCCAGACTTGTTGGTGGACATTGAAATCGCCCACCCAGATTACACTTGTGCTCTTGCCATCCTCAGTGCTTCCTCTAAGTGTTGTTCAACATGGAGGAGCTCCGATTCATCAGCTGAGGGAGGAGGGTACATGATAACAGCGGGAGGTTTCCTTGCCCATGTTTAACCTGAAGCCACGAGACTTCATGGGGTCCGGAGTCAATGTTGAAGACACTCAGGGCAACTCCATTTTGACTGTATACCACTGTGCTGCCTCCTCTATCAGGTCTGTCCTCCAGGTGGGAATGTTGATGGTGACGTCTGGTACATAGTCTGTAAAGTATGATTCTGTGAGTACGACTATGTCAGGATGTTGCTTGACTAGTCTGTGAGACAGCTCTCCCAACTTTGGCACTAGCCCCCAGTAGTAAGGAGGGTCCTGTAGAGTTGACACGGCTTTTTTCTGCTGTTGTCTTTTCCGGTGCCTAGGTCGATGCCAAGTGATCTGTCCGGTTTCATTTCTTCGAGAATTTGTAGCGATTGGTATAACTGAATGGCTTGCTAAGCCATTTAAGAGGCCAATTGAGAGTCAACCACATTGCTGTGGGTATGAAGTCACATGTAGGCCAGACCAAGTGAGGATGACAGATTTCCTTCCCTGAAGGCCATTAGCGAACCAGATTGGTGCTTCCAACAATCAACAATGATTTCATGGTCATCAGAATCTTAATTCCAGATTTTTTTTTATTGAATTCAAATTCCACCATCTACTGTGGTGGGATTTGAACCTGGGTCCCTGGAACATTAGCTGAGTTTCTGGATTAATAGTCGAGTGACAATTCCACTAGGCCATTGCCTACCCAATGTTGAATTAATGCAACTTCATTTGTGGTTAAAGTCATGACAAACTAATAAATTGTCCAGGATTGAATAGTGCATTTTCCAGCTGTTGCCTTCCAAATAAGGGATCTACATGAAGGAAGGGTGAACAATCTCTAATCCAATTTTTCTTAAATTTTGTTGGTTCATTTACAGTACAGGACAAAACCATGGTCCATTTTCTTGGAAGATGAAGTCATAAATAAAGATTTGGAGAAGATATAACAGCAGTAAAAGTGGGGGTGGGCGGCAGAGATGAAGCATCGGTTTCAACTTAATTATACTCCCATAGGTTTTAGTACTCACTCTGAGATGTCAATCTTTTCCAGCCGTTTGTGAAAATCAGTGGCAATGCGAGTAAAATTATGTACAGCTGAAAAGAGAGAATCTGAAACAGAAGAGAAGATTTTAGCAAAACTTTTGGTTGGTCACAAAGGCCAACAACATTCTATTAATTTTTACTTTCTCAGTGTTGGCTGTTAACTTATGTAAAGGGTTTCCAGATTGGGTGCTGTCAGTCTGTTAGTGCTTATGCAATCCTCCTACATTCTTTTGCTCTGTAACCATTTCAAACCAAAACCCCTGCCTCATTTATTTACAAAAGCAATTATTAGTAGCATTCCTTTTTACAGCCCTCTAGGCCACCTCTTTGTCTCTTTATGGCTCCATTACAATTTATTTTTGGCTTGCTCAATCATATCTTCTGCCAATTAATCTCAACTGGCTTTGAACAATCACAGACTTTTTGCTTTTCAATTTCCCAAGCAGCCCCCAACCCAACTTTTGCTGCCTCTGTAACCTGCCATGAATCTCTAAATATCTCTCAGCAAACCGTAGCATCAACTCAACTCCCCTCTCCACAGATTCTGATCAACATGCTATGTATTTCCAACTTGTCTGTTTTTATTTCAGGTTTTGTTTTTGTTGTCATGGTTCTCCAACTACAATCAATACCCAACAAGCAGCAAGTGATCTGTAACTAATTGATAAGTACATTCAACAGCATTAGAGAGAGGTCTGTGTGACCTTAAGAGAAGGTATTGGATAAAGTAAACAGTTCTTAAATGGATTCACAGACTTGCTGATTGAATTGCTTGGTCTGTATACACTTAGCTGACATTAGCTGTACATGCTAATTCCTCAAATATATGGTGGCCAGTGCAATTGCCAAAAGAAATGAGTGCACCATTTTGGTTAGGACACCTAGTGTCTGCTTCTATCGTGTCTAATTGTGTGGTAGCAAAGTTTGAACTGGACATGTGAGTTAGAACAATTCAGTGCCAGATACAGAGATGGAAAGAATGATAGGATTAAGAGAGAGAGAGAGAGAGAGATAAAGAAAAAAAAAATTGTTGAAGTTAACTTTCTATGCCTGATTAAGGGACTGAACATTGAGCAGAGAGTGACTGCTAAGAGCCCTTCCGATGCTGCCACTGAAGTTACATTAGATACTGGTTGTGATGTATCTAAAATATATGCTATATTTAACACTGGAAGTAACTGAGGTCAAGAAGGTGAAACAGATAGGTAACTGTGTACTTTTGTAGAACAGCATACTGTCCTACTAATGCATGAAATTCCTGAAGTTAAATAATTAATTAAATCACAGCAGAATTACTCACCGAAAGAAACCTGATATTTGTTAAGTTGAGTTTCATGCTGCTTGGCCTGCTCAGAAATGATATTGGCATAGACGGTCAATGCATCAGCATAATCTCTGCAGTCAAATGGTATGATGATAGCGTCGGCTATCTCATAAACCAGTCCTCCTCGCACCTTGGCCACCGTAAGAATTTTCTCAAAGGATGGGTCATAAAACCTCTCCACTATTTCAAACGTTTCATAAGCACTGTGATATACTGGGTAATTGCTGAATTTGGCAGTTTTCTAAAACACACAAGGAATACCTGATACAATTACATAATGTTTTCAAGTGAGAATCAATTACATATTAAAAGCAAACGTCTTGCTGCAAGTAATCCATCTTCATCAATTCACATTTGTAAGATATAGACAATAAAAACTTTCAACTTTTCAAATAATTACAGTAAATGCTGAAAACACTTAGCGACCAGGCAGCATCTGTGGAATATAAAGGATAACTTTGATAATTCAGGTCAATGACCGTTTGTCAGAACTGGAAAATGCTACAGGAAACTGGAGACCTTAACAGAGTCAGAGAAAAAAAAGACAGGAAGAAAATAATTTGCCTGTGATTAGATGAAAGAGCATAATTGATTAAATGATAGAAATGAAAATGGCATAAGACAAAGTAGTAACAAATAGATAAGTATAATAAGCAGCTGAGACCCGAGGATTTCTAAATGGCTATTGAAGAAAAGCAGAAGGGATGAAAAAGCTTTTAAAATCAAGCAAATTGGATATGCATCAAATGGTGGAGGATTATAGAGTTAAAAAATGACAGGTGATAGCAGGGTAGAAATTACCTCATATATAAACAGGGAAGCATATTGATGGAATCATAAAATCCCTATGGTGCAGATAGAGGCCATTAAGGTCATCGACTCTGCACTACTCTTCCAAGGAACACCCCACCAGGACCCACCCTCCACCCTCAGGTAAAGTTTTCCTCCCCTTTACATTTGCTGTCATTATCCCTGCTCAAGAAAAACCAAACTAACATTCTGTTGCTGCATGTACTGTCCCATCTCTAATTTCACTTTCTTCCCAAAATCTTGATAATGTTGTCATCTTGAAGGATCCCTGCCCATCTTTCCTTAAATCCCATTTTAGACTCTCTCCAAATTAAGTTTCTGCCTCTGCCACTGTACTGGAGCAGTATTTTTTTAAAATCAAAATCACGTTAATGTTGAACAAGCCTGTTTCTGACCATGGAATCATATCTGACCTTGATGTGAGCTTTTGATCATATCTCCACACCATCACTAAGAATGGGTGTGTTTAGCTCCAAATCATTGCCCATCTCCGCCCTCCACTAGTAGGACAGCGAGAGGAATGGAGATCTGAGGCCCAAACCGTCAGCCTTTCTGCTCCGATGATGCTGCTTGGCCTGCTGTGTTCATCCAGCTCTGTACCTTCTTGTCTCGGATTCTCCAGCATCTGCAGTTCCTACTATCTCTGAGGCACAGAGAAAGCTGGTTAGGATACAAGTTCAGCAGGAGCCCAAGAGTACATCAAGAGAAGCAAAGAGACCAGAACATATTGAGAGCAGCACAGGCCCAAAAGCACAATGAGAGGAGCAGAGGCCTGAGAGGATGGTAAGAGGAGCAAAGCCTCAACAACATTCTGAGAGTGGCCATGAGTACTGAGAGAACCACAGTCACAAGAGCCCAGTCAGTGTGGCACAGGCCCATGAGTACAGTGAGAGGGGCAGAGACTATGAGTAAAATGAGATCAATTGAAGCTTGAGGGTGCAGTTGCAGGAATCATGATGAGTGACTTTGTGCATCTTATATATGGTACACAGCATAGCCGTGGTGGAGCAAGTGAATGTTGAAGGTGATAAATGGAGTGCTAAACAAGGAAGCTGCTTTGTCCTGGAAGCTGTCGAGCTTCATGAGTATTTCTGGAGCTACAGTGATACAAGCAAGTGGAAGTATTCTATCACAATCCTGACTTGCATCTTGTAGATGGTGGACTGACACTGGGGAGTTACTTAGTACAGAATTCCCAACTTTTGGCCTGCTCTTGCAGCTACAGTACTTATATGGCTGGCTCCGTTCAGCTTCTTGGTCAGTAGAAATGCCAGGATGTAGGTAATGGGGTTTCAGCATGTCAGTGTTGATGGAAATCAATGTGATTCTGATGAGCCACATCTGCACTAAGTGTCTACAAAACAAGAAATGTGGGCTCACAGTTGCTGAGTTGGAATCTAAGCAGATATTGCAATGCATCAGGGAGTGATATCTGGATACTTTGATCAAGACTCATTCACATTTCTTAGTTTAGATTTGGTCACAGCCAATGACAGGAGGATGTGTCCACAGGTGAGGGAGGTGTTGGGATCAAGCATGCAATGATATCGGAGTCTCACTAAGCTTTTGACCTTGTCCACCAGGTAGAAAGACCTTACTACCTTACTGGATGATAGCAAATACTGCAGAGTAGAGGGGCAACTGAACATGGTCCTGTGGTAAAGGAAGTCATTCAAGTAGATGGGAGAGCTGAAGTAATGGAGACTTGATGAGAACACTATAAGGTACCATAGAAATGAAATTAATTCTTGCTTTAACTATGTTCATACCAACAGAAAATTAGTTGACGCAAATCTCTGTTTTGATTTGGACACCTTAACAAACTGTTGACTTTATTAATTGGTAAATTTTCATTGGCAATGGGTGGCTGTATTTGATATTTGCATTCGAATAGAAACAGGAAAAGCTAAATTCCCAACTGTACACCAATGTAAAAGGCAGTCAAAATACTGACCTCTGTGAAAATGATCAATACTATGCTCAGTATAGATGTTTTGTCATATAAAATTAAATGATTCATGATAAAAAAAGTTGAAACTTCAGCAGATTTGAAACTTCTTTTTTAGAAAATACATTTTATTTGGTACAGTTAGAGAAATCGTGCAAAAAAGAGTCAACTTTGAGCAGCATTTAAAATATTGCAAAAACAAAATGAAAACAAGAGATCAGGAAACATGCAGAAAAGTTCCAACAATTTATTTTTGTTTACCTGTCAGATGCACTCACCCTGTTTTTTGTATATCGTACACGGCCTGAGGTAATGCCAAGTCGCTGAAAATAAGCTTCAAAATCACTGCCAGATCCCAGTTTTCTTATCCTAAATATATTAACAGATAAGAATAATTGTAATTCTGTAATTTAAAGAAATCTTACAAGAAGTATTGTGAATCTAAAGTGGAACTATATTGATTTCCACATGTCAATAGTTTGTTTGACCTGCTGATTTTAAGCCAGTCAGCAAAATATTTGAAAGTGAGACAAAGAACTTTAGGTTGGATTTTCCAAGAACTGGCAATCTCAAACAGGTCACCATTCCGGCCTCACCTTTTTTTAAAAATTAAAAGGAGCTCCATGTTTCTGACAGGGTGGTCGTGTCCAGTCCAGCAGAGATGGAAGGAGGTTGGGTCAGATCTATGAAGGGAGGGGAAGGGAAGTTGGATCTAGTCCAGCAAGTTAGGGTGTTCTGTCATGTCTCAATATTTGCATTTGAATAGTAACAGTGAAAGCTGAATTCCCAACTTCACCCCATTGCAAAAGGCAGTCAAAATAGGGCTCTCCGTGAAAATGTTCAATACTATGCTCAGTATAGCTGTTTTGTCATTCTAATTTAAAGATCCATTATAAAAACAACTGTTGAAATTTCAGTAAGTTTGAAATTTTCTTTTTAGAAAATACTTTTTTTGTTAGGTACACTTAGGGAAATTGTGTCTAGTCTGGTAGGCAGTATCAGTTCAGCTCCCTGGGATGAAAGAGAAGTGGGGGGCGGTGGAGTTGGAACATGCGTCAGGTCAGGGTTTGGGATTTGACGTGGTCCTAGGGAGGTGTAGTTGGGGTGAGGTAAATATGCAGCCTGTTGAATACTTACTCAGGAGCATGTATTTAATAGTCTAACTTGTTCTGAAAAGCTATTTTAATTAATTTCATCAGGAGCTTGAAAAATCTCCAATTTAACGGTGGCTCAGTGGTTAGCACTGCTTCCTCACAGCACCAGGGACCCGGGTTCGATTCCACCCTCGGGTGACTGTCTGTGTGGAGTTTGCACATTCCCCCCATTTCTGCGTGGGTTTCCTCCGGGTGCTCCGGTTTCTTCCCACAGTCCAAAGATGTGCAGGCTAGGTGGATTGGCCATGCTAAATTGCCTGTAATGTTCAAGGATGCCTAGATTAGAGGGGTGAAAGGGGGATAGATCTGGGTGGGATGCTCTGAGGGTTGGTGTGGACTTGTTGGGCCGAAGGGCCTGTTTCCACACTGTAGGGATTCTATGATACTATGATGATACTTAAACATAGACTTTCAGATGGTTCCAAGCAGGGAGGAATTGCCCAGCAGATTCATTAGTCTACTGGGTAATTCCTTCAGAGTCTGCTTTGATGGGTAATGCACAACTCCCATCTACGCTTGAATAACAACTTAATATCCAGCAGAAAATGCAGGCTAATGTCAATTTTTATATTGATAATATATACAAAATAATCCTGCTGATAAGTTTGTTAATTATACATACATTAACCTCTGATTAAGAGCCTTTCTGTACTTAATGGTAAATGCTATGAAGGTGATGATAGTGTTTAAAAAAAGTAGATGTCAACTACTAAGAGTTTGATGCATTTGTTTATCCCAAAGCAATAAACCAAGATGTCCTATCAGCTCAGAGATAGTAAGAACTGCCGATGCTGGAGTCAGAGATAACACAGTGTGGAGCTGGAGAAACACAGCAAGCCCGGCAGCATCAGAGGAGCAGGAAAGCTGACATTTTGGGTCGGGGCCCTTCTTCATTTTCTGAAGAAGGGTTCCGACACAAAACATCAGCTTTCCTGGTCCTCTGATGCTGCCTGGCCTGCTGTGTTTCTCCAGCTCCACAGTGTCCTATCAGCTATTCCTTTTCATAGTACCTTGGAATCTAAATAACTGAACAGACTAGCAGAGATAAAATTGCAAAATAAATAACATCAAATTCAATAATGGTAAGTTCTTTATAGCATCAAAAATATAATTATATTTTAAAATAATAGTAAATGTACCAATGCTATTGAAAGTACATTTGAAATGTTAAATGGAAAGTTTTAAAAAAAGTCAGCTGCTGCAAACAAAAGAGTGAACTATTTGAAGATGGAATCAAAATGTCATATTTGCACACTGAACTGTTTTGACAAAATAATTAAATAGATACCATTACAAAAATATATATACAAATAGTCATTTGCGTAGAACTTGAATATTGTTGAAAAAAAGATACATTTTATTGAAGTATTTTCTTGCACTCACAAGGACATTTCACAAGAATACAAGGGAAAACTAATATTTATATTCTATGAGAGTGCTGATTAGTTGGAAATTAATGACTCTGAGTGGTAGAGGTGATGCCAAGGCAAATGTTGATTGACAGTTAACAGCAAGGCTAACTTAAATTTTAAAACTGACAGGTTGACTCTGATTGATCAGGATATTGCCCAGAAAAATGAATCAAATGACTGCCATCTATTAAGTCGAGGACAGGTGCAGTAAGTGCACATTCTTTCAATTTGCATAAAACAGGACCTGGTATATTAGTATAGGTAGCTTCCTGTACATTCAAGTGCCCCGACAGTGCAAGCCCAAATGACAGTCCTAAATTGGTTATCAGAATAATTCCTCACATATTCAGAATTTCCCAGCAAATGTTCAATTGCACAATCACATCTGTTCAACGCTGTTTTGCAAGTACTCGCTGGTACAACTATTTGGGTGTTTCTTGTCAACAGCTGAAGGGACATACTGTTTGATAATAACCTGTCAGTCTTTGGGGCATGCCCTACATACCTGGTATCACACTGGCTCCAAATTCATATACCACATTACGTTGTGTATAATTACTATTGCAGAATGTCCTTTTGACTTTGTTAATGACTGGTGGTATTAGCACGATAGAGTGAAATGATCCAAATTCAGGGTAGAAACCATTATGATGATAATCATTGGGGATTTTAATCTACCTATGGAGTAGAAAAATTGGATTGGCAAAGGTAGCCTAGATGAGGCATTCATGTGATGATTTTCAGGATAGTTTCTCTGTACAGCACATTCTGGAGGCAATCAGCGAGCAGGCTATATTGCATTGTGCAATTAAATAGGATTGATTAATTAAGTGCCTCAGTGAAGGTACTCCGAAATAGCAGTGATCATGACATAATGAAATTTTACAGGCAGTTTGAGGGAGAGAAGAGTGGGTCTGCAGTGAGAATGTGGGATTAGTGTTAGGGGCCTCTACACCACTCCCACAAATGACTACTCGCATTTATCATTTTTCATCTCTACCCCAATCACTTTTACTTTGAACTCGGAATATCCCTTTCTATTGTGCAATTACCATCATTAATTAACAAAGCCACCATTCCATGTTAACCTAGCTTCTCATTTCCTAAATGTCCTCTGCCCTTCAATATTCAACTCCTAATCCTAATCATTTGGTGGCCACATTTTAGTAATGGCTTTTGAACATATTTATGTGTGCTCTCAATTCTTCTGTTCTGTTTCAAATGCTATGTACTTGCAAATACGTAGCCAATGAATGGAGACTTTCCAGGCAGTGAATGATGTGGGGCATGGCGAAAAATTTGGGAGAATCAAATGAGATCAGCAGTGAAAAAAAGGTCTCAATTTCCAACCAGGTATTGAACTGCAAGACAGGATTCTCACCAATGAGCAGCGAGAGCCCTATTTCCATGTATTAACATATATTCACAACTCATTATTAGCTCATCTTCTCCTAATTGATATGCAATTTTCCATTCTCCCAACAACTGGATAGAAATTAGATGACAACAATTCCTGCCATGAAAGTCAGAGCAGTTGCCTAGTGACTCCACCTTGGCACTTGCTACTCTGACCCTCCATCTTGGACACCAAGCAACAACATCTCAGGGCACACCCTTGAGCTTTACGCGTGCACACTCCCATTCAGGAATATTGGCCTTGGACATGTAGCAGCCTCAGCATACCCTTAATGCATATCTTTGACCCACGTGCAAGACAGTGCTGTATTTCCATGCTAGAGTTTGGAGTACACTGTACCTTTAATTGCAATACTGATGAAAAATCACTTTGCTTGCAAGGAGAGACACTCATTTTGTGGATTGGACTACATTACATCTCAAGGATCCTCGCTTGCTGTCTTAGAACTCACTCATTCTGCACTTGCTTGGATGTTCAAGACATCTCTGCCTTGGGTTGCTTTGTCTTTATTTCCATTTTGTGCCCCCTCAGCCGGAGTTCAAATGCTCACGGTACTTCTTTCGTGCCTTACTGTTCAGCTCAGACACAAAGCCAGCAGCTTGTCTTGGTTATAGCAGAAATAGCAAGAACTGCAGATGTTGGAGTCAGAGACAACACAGTGTGGAGCTGGGGGAACACAGCAGGTCAGGCAGCATCAGAGGAGTAGGAAAGTTGACATTTTGAGTCAGTTCTGAAGAAGGGTCCCGACCCAAATCATCAAATTTCCTACTCCTTTGATCTGTTGTGTTCCTCCAGCTCCACACTATATTGTTGCCAGCTTGTCTTGGTTGTCTGCAGTCATCAGTCAGAGATGATGCTGTATAGCATCATGTGATGTCAAGCTTACATCTGTACCATGTGCCAGCAGCTTATGTGGCAAGTACAGAATGTGTTTTGACCAAGTGGCCATATCTGAAAGTCTAAGGGAAATAGTCTTCAGTCAAAGCAAGGAGGCACACTTCAATCACAGGATCTGGGTACACTAATGGAAGGACAACTTCGAATGACACACTGGGGCTTGATCAGTTAGTTGGCTGCTCAGGGGGCGTCAGAGTCAGATGGTCTAGATCTCTACAATTTGGGGTGGTGTCTTGGTCAACCCTATGGGTCTAATGTAAACAGTCCAGAGATTAGCAGAAAGTTAGTCGGGGAGCTGTACAGAGATCAGTCAGGAATCTGGTCATTCATCAGTTTGGCCTATGCATCCAAGTCATTCAAGGCGCTCTGCCATTATCATTCCTGAAGGTCTATACGCTAAAAATCAAGGGAGGTTATCAGGGGCCATTGCTATATGAAGGAAGCTGGAGAACCAAATCGTGGTGTTTGGAGACTGGGAGAACAAAATGG